CACCTCTGCGTCTTCAGTGATACAGATGATAAGATTTTAGCAAAGACATGTTTAAATGAGTAAACAGTTAAAGCCTCTTACTTGTTTGCCTCATATATTTCCTTGCATGATTTTACAGCTGAAAGATAGAGTGTGATGTCAGAGCCAGATGTATTCTACTGTTAAAAAAAGTACGGAAGAGAGACTGTAAGATATTTAAAAAATATTCATGGATTACCTTTCTCGCAAAATTCTCCCAAGAAACTTTCTTTACAAAGACAATCAAAAGTGTTGGAGTTAAAATTCGGGATGCAGGTTCCTTTGTTTTGACACGGCGATGAAGAACATGGAGACTGAAAGAGAGGAAATGACTGTTAAGACAACGCTGTGAATACTTGAACAGTAGTTGCGATAGCTGTGAATAAGCATACCTCGTCGAGAACAAGTACGTTTAAATACTTTCCCTTGCAAATGCCTTGTTTTAGAGTTTTAACACAATGGTTAAAGTGTTCTTACCCGCAGAATGGAAAAATGATGCGAACTCGTGTTTTTGTGGTAGTTCTCAGCGTTTCTGTTCTTATCGGAGGACAGTAATTCGCACCAAAGCTTTCCCTCTGTCCCACGAGAAGAGGCTGTGTTTAAAGAGAGGCACAAATTATTTCGGAGGCACGCCAGGGTGCAATGAAACATGTCGAACATCGTGAACTTTCTGATCTGAGTAACGTTCAGATAATGGAACTCCTCTTTAAGAAAATAACTTTGTTCATCTGCCTGGTCAGAAGGGCCCAAATCTTGTTCAGCACTTTTCATTCCTGGATTGAGGAGGATAAAATGGATATTGACCAAATTGCTATTACAATACTTAAACTGAGACGAGAACTCACTGCATGTCTCTCCCTGGTGGGGTAAGGCTTCTTGCTGCATTTGACATTTGATAAATGTGTTCGATTGTGAAGCTATGCAGCAATCTCCGATGTAATCGTTTTCTGATTCTCAAATGAATAAAACTCCACATCCGAATCGACCACATCGTGAGGCAAACGATTATAATTCTTTTTTGAAATTATTATTTACCACGATGA